TCTTCTTCTTCTTCTTCTTCTTCTTCTTCTTCTTCTTCTTCTTCTTCTTCTTCTTCTTCTTCTTCTTCTTCTTCTTCTGCTTCTTCTTCTTCTTCTCCTCCTCCTCTTCTTCTTCTTCTTCCTCTTCTTCTTCTTCTTTTTCTTCTTCTTCTTCTTCTTCTTCTTCTTCTTCTTCTTCTTTTTCTTCCTCCTCCTCCTCCTCCTCCTTCTTCTTCTTCTTCTTCTTCTTCTTCTTCTTCTTCTTCTTCTTCTTCTTCTTCTTCTTCTTCTTCTTCTTCTTCTTCTTCTTCTTCTCCTTCTTCTTCCTTTTCTTCTTCTTCTTCTTCTTTTTCTTCTTCTTCTTCTTACTCTTCCTCTTCTTCTTCTTCTTCTTCTTCTTCTTCTTCTTCTTCTTCTTCTTCTTCTTTTTCTTCCTCCTCCTCCTCCTCCTCCTCCTCCTCCTTCTTATCTTCTTCTTCTTCTTCTTCTTCTTTGCTTCTTCTTTCTTCTTCTTCTTCTTCTTCTTCTTCTTTCTTCTTCTTCTTCTTCTTCTTCTTCTTCTTCTTCTTCTTCTTCTTCTTCTTTTTCCTCTTCTTCTTCTTATTTTTCTTCCTCCTCCTCCTCCTCCTCCTCCTTCTTCTTCTTCTTCTTCTTCTTCTTCTTCTTCTTCTTCTTCTTCTTCTTCTTCTTCTTCTTCTTCTTCTTCTTCTTCTTCTTCTCTTCTTCTCTTCTTCTTTTTCCTCTTCTTCTTCTTATTTTTCTTCCTTATCTTCTTCTTCTTCTTCTTCTTCTTCTTCTTCTTCTTCTTTCTCTTCTTCTTTTTCTTTTTTTTTCTTCTTCTCCTCCTCCTCCTCACCATATCCCCATCATTTGGTATTATTATTATTATTATTATTATTATTATTATTAACATCATCATCATCATTATACATTTATGACTGCCCGCCCAAAACACAAATGAAAGCTACTGAATATTTAGACAATTTTTAAGTAGCCAGTCAGGATTTTTTCAGACTCAATGAGAGAACTCTTGGCACCATCATAATTGGCACAACGAGGAGATGGAAATGGCCTGGGTGCTCTACGGGTGGTTGGCAGGCTACTCAAATTTCATCTTTCACCTTTCCGAAGAACAGCTAGCAAACCTTAACACAAGCAGAACTGAAGACGTTAAAGAGACCGTACCCTCACAATGAACGACAATAGCCTTGGGATTACCATTTATACATCCTTACGGTTGACGATAAAAGTGACAGACAAAGATAAAGATCCCTTTTCACGCCTCTAGGCAACCCGGGTACATGGGAAGAGCACCCATATTTTTACAGACCATCGGCACTAGGTGGGTAATGTGGTCAGCAATACGGCGGCCGTCTTTACTTCCCCAGGACAGCCATCCTGGTACCTATTTTAAGCTGGGTTGACCTGCGACGCCCCATACCACGATAAAAATCCACGCAGGCAGCAGTGGGTTTCGATCGCGGGACGAGTCAGACTCGCAACGCCTAAGCCACGGCACTATTATTTTTCGGCACTAAAAGTGACACATGACGGAAAAATATTGATTTTATGGTAACGTCATTTAATTAAATGGCAAACTACTGAAGGTAAATTTGCCTAGAAAAACTACACAACGGCCAAGGGCTGTTGGGGGCTGGTTCTGCAACGTCCTGTAAAGGATACGCAACTAACCTAACCATTTCATTTACACAGTTTTACGACATGACAAACACAACGCTGTTTTCAGCTGTTATCATATAAACTTTACTTGCATAATTAATGTGTATACATTTCCACACATATAATATTTCACAAGAGGGATTTTCATCGCCCATCTAGAGCCGTTAAAAAAACCGGGTCAAGCACCACATACGCGAAGCATCAATGGTGTTCAACGAAGCATTTACTTACTATGCATAATCAACAGAAAGATGGAAAACAGAGTGCAGAAGGCAAATGCAGTCTCATACTAGACAGCCCCACTGCTTAGATCCTCAAATATTTCCCTTCCAGCAAAACAGCAAATGATTAATAGCATCTTCGTCCATAATTTACGTTATCAGTGCCAACCATGGATAATGAAAAGAGAATTAGTACAGAAAATGACTACATGTGAAATGCAATGTTTCTTAACTCATTGAGTTTAGCATCATAGGTCTAAGGGGAGGTTTAGAGAGAGAGAGACATAAAATCGGCGCATCTTGCGTTTGTTTGGTTTCTAAGTATCAACCTATGAACGTATGATGCGTTCCTTGGGACTCAAAGAGTTAAGGTCTCTAACAACACAAGAAGTTACAGGGTTACGAATAGAGAGTTGGAATAAGACCATGTCTTGATTCCACTGACAGACAAAGAATGAAAAGGTTCGGCCATCTAGTCAGAATGCACCCAGACCAAACTGCATATGTTTTTAACATGATAATGCCTAGGAGGAAGGCGAGAGGAAGACCAAGAAAAAATGGATAAATTATGACACCAAAACCACACGAGAAGTGTCAGATAAGTATAGAAAACCACGGTATCAGTGAGATGATGCAAAGAAAGTATAAAAAGACAATGAATAATGACATACATTGGTATTTATTTCTCTACACAGATTTTTCTGTGATTACTATCGTCTTCTTCTTCTTCTTTACGTCCTCTTTTAGTACTATGCGTGTCGAATGAGACACAAGATCTTGCTTCGGCTCTTCTGGCTGTTTCAACCATAGACACATCGTGATTCTGTAGAGTTTCTCTGATGATATCTGCCCATAATGTTTTTGGTCTACCTCCTGCTTTACGTCTTTCTCCTATTTTCCTATATGCCTTGTATGGTATAGCATCAGGATTACTATACAAGGTAAAAACAACAACGAGCAAGGAAAAAACTTCATCTTTCTAGGGAGCATAATATCATCCGACAGGAAAGAAAAGGAATCATAGACAGAACATAGATGTAATACAGAAAATTAAAACATTAGACAGATGTCCCCAATTTTCCAGAACAAACACATAACAACTGGCACTGGCAGAGAACCACTGAAGGCAGTATATTCTTTTTTAATCAGCACTGTACTAACAGTGCCTAAAGTGGACATTAACAACGAAAGAAAGAACAAACATATAGACCAACACTGTGTTAACAGAGCCTGACGTGGGCATTAACAATGAAAGAAAGAACAAACACATAGACCAACACTGTGTTAACAGTGCCTGACGTGGGCATCAACAGCGAAAGAAAGAACAAACACATAGATCAACACTGTGTTAACAGTGCCTGACGTGGGCATCAACAGCGAAAGAAAGAACAAACACATATACCAACACTGTGTTAACGGTGCCTGACGTGGGCATTAACAATGAAAGAATGAACAAGCACATAGACCAACACTGTGTAAACGGTGCCTGACGTGGGCATTAACAATGAAAGAAAGAACAAACACATAGACCAACACTGTGTTAACGGTGCCTGACGTAGACATTAACAGCGAAAGAACAAACACATGTTAACGGTGCCTGACGTGGGCATTAATAATGAAAGAAAGAACAAACACATGTTAACAGTGCCTGACGTGGGTTAACAGCAAAAGAAAGAACAAACACATGTTAACGGTGCCTGACGTAGGCATTATGTTAACAGTGCCTGACGTGGGTTAACAGCAAAAGAAAGAACAAACACATGTTAACGGTGCCTGACGTAGGCATTAACAATGAAAGAAAGAACAAACACATGTTAACGGTGCCTGACGTGGGCATTAACACTGAAAGAAAGAACAAACACATGTTAACAGTGCCTCACGTGGACATCAACAGCGAAAGAAAGAACAAACACATGTTAACGGTGCCTGACGTGGGCATTAACAATGAGAGAAAGAACAAACACATGTTATCAGGTCCTGACGTGGACATCAACAGCGAAAGAAGGAACAAACACATGTTCACGGTGCCTAAAATGGGAATTAACAATGAAAGAAAGAACAAACACGTATAAACGGGGCCTAAAGTGGAAATTAACAATGAAAGAAAGAACACACACATGTTAACAGTGCCTGACGTGGACATCAACAGCGAAAGAAAGAAAAAACACATAGAACAACACTGTGTTAACGGTGCCTGACGTGGGCATTAACAATGAGAGAAAGAACAAACACATAGACCAACACTGTGTTAACGGTGCCTGACGTGGGCATTAACAATGAAAGAATGAACAAACACATGTTAACGGTGCCTGACGTGGGCATTAACATTGAAAGAAAGAACAAACACATGTTAACGGTGCCTGGCGTGGACATTAATAATTAAAGAAAGAACAAACACATAGACCAACACTGTGTTAACGGTGCCTAAAGTGGGCATTAACATGAAAGAAAGAACAAACAGATGTTAACGGTGCCTTACGTGGACATTACAAATAAAAGAAAGAACAAACACATAGACCAACACTGTGTTAACGGTACCTGGCGTGGACATTAACAATGAAAGAAAGAACAAACACATGTTAACGGTGCCTAACGTGGACATCAACAGCGAAAGAAAGAACAAAAAAATCGAAACAACCGAAATGAAATGTCTATGAGAAATGCTATATGTGACCAGAAGAGGCAGAATTAGAAATGACGATATCAGGAAAGAACCTGGGATTTGAGGTTTGAACAACGGATCAACATCATGACTCACTGGTAGTAACCCACAAGTGATCCGTTCTTCTTTTTAACTCAAGTCAAACGGAGCTTAGAGTGAGCTATCGTTAAACTACATCAAGAGTCAACAGATAAATGGTTTGGACATGTGTCAAAACTACCACCAATTAGTTCACCACAGAGAGCCCTGTCGTTCGGACACAACTGAAGCAAAATAGAGGTCGACATCGCAAGCCGTGGACGGACAGAATTTCAGAGGTCGTGAATACCAGCATATACATTGCACATAGCAAGGGTGGCATCCGATGCTTCTTCAAAATATGAGTCTGAGAGGCAGAACAGGACTGAAGAAGAGGAGGAAGAAGGTACATCTGCCCCCAGAGTCAAGTCTGTTGTCTCTCAGATGATGACACACGTGCATTCCTTTTTCTGTCCGACAACAGGCTCTTTCGGTTGCTGGCCAACGTCTTCAAAGACAATGGCGATGCTTTTGTTCATCTGCCGGACAAGAGCTTCATAGACAACTGGCAAACGCTCCTCACTCACAAAAGTTTCAAAGAAAGGACAACCCCATTCCCCAGCTAACGTCTCGCCCTCAAAACGTGGCACCTCCCTGTGTCTTTCCAGATCTAGTTTGTTGGCAACAAGAACAACAGGGAACGCCTCCAAACCCTTTAAAGCCTTAATTACGTTCTTCATTTTGGAAATAGATTTGAATGAATCCCCACTGATGATACTGTATACCACTATAAATCCATCACTAGCTTTGATCGCGTCATCTCTGATCGACACGAATTCCTGAGAACCTGAAGTATCAAGTATATCCATAGCTAAAACTACAGAATCCACAGTGAGGGATTTTCTATGTAGCGCTAAAATCGTAGCCTTGTACCGGTTACGTTTTGTTTCTAGAGCTATAGAAGTTTTCCCCACTCCAGAACTTCCTACAAAAGCCACTTTATAAAGTTTCATTTCGATAACGAAAAAATAATCCTTTCTTGAAACTAACGCAATCACAATTTCATGATGTTTGTAATATCTTCTGGTAGGCAGAAGTGGCTGCGATGCTGTCAAAAGTGGGCTAAACTAAACACACAGGCTCTGTGATTTAGTCATCCTGGCATGTCTCCGGTGTATCCAGAAGAAATGGCCAAATAGAAATGTTTCGTAAATTACGGTAAGTAGCCATGCTTTGAGAAAGGTCAGTCAATGGAATCTTTGCACTGAAAAATGAAAATGGGTAGTCAAATCAATGTTTCAAAGTTGTGAATTTAAACACAGAAGAAACAAATGTTAGATTGCACAATTTATTCTTAAGCGGGAAACCTGGGTTCAAATGCCTGGTAAGGTTGGGGATTTTTTCTGTCGGGGCAACAACAAAAAAATCATCACCTGCACAGTCGTGGCGACAGCACTAGCCATGCGGCCGTACATCCTCAGGCTCAAAAACCACCTGCCCCCTTCTCTCCCCCCCCCCTTTCTGCCCTCCCCCTCCCCGCAGCTGGGATCGAATCTGGCATTACGAAGCGTTCGCATCGACTTAGCCACAGAGCCGACCCCAAAACGCTTAAAGGCGTGGAAAAGGGACCTCTACTTTACTTATGAGAGCTGAGCATTTAGTAAGAAACACATTAAATATACAACTGGCAACAACGGTCTTTAAATCCCATGCTCTAATTGTGGAAGACGTTTCTTAACGCGGACGGGTCTTGCTAGTCACACTCGCCATCGCCATGGGCTGTGAGTCCTATGCCTCCACATTGCACATCACAAAACTACTACGTCTATTCTCTACTCCTGGGACTCCTCGCAGCGTTAGAGCAGAAAGGGATATCAGGAACGGGCCCTTCTGTTCGCTTCGTATCGAGTACTTTTCGGTGTCTCTGATAAGTATGCGGTCCATGTTCCTCGTGGCCGACCTCTGGCACTGTTTTTGCTATGTCTGAATAATATAGCTCTGTGTGGTGTCCTGTCTGTTGCAAGTCTTGTTACATGGCCAAACCATTTGATATGTTGTCTACCGATAGAGATCAGTATTGGTTCTGTTCGAGTTTCCTCCTTATATCATCGTTCCTAAGTCGTTATTTCCTCGTTAAACCTAGCATATAGTACGTCATCATTTTCATTTCTGTCGTCCTTCTGTCTTCTGAAGACTGTGTCAATGTTTGACACTGATAGCACAGCTTTGACAAGAATACTGTGTTGAACAGTGCACTTTTAGGTTCATATTCACGTGTTTGCATTTCAAAGTTTATTTCATATAACCTGCAGATAACTTTATCATCTGGCATGTTGCCAGCAACAATCGCAGGTATAACTTTAAGCTTTGAACAGGAACATATTTACATAACAACCATTACTACAAGGGGAATTCAATAAAATGGGTAAATGGATCAACATAGTTAAAGAAGTTTACCTCGAAGTCCTATGCTAAAGGGATGCTAAAGATACAAAACGAGTCTATTCCATCTATAGTAGCTAGAACTGAACGGGCACGCTAAACCAACTTTCCGCCATCTTGTCGGACATGTTATCTTTAAACGGTGTACCAGCAAAAAAGTGATTCGGTCTAATTTCTCTTTAATAATTGAACATTCTTCCAATAGTCAATGCCGTGTGACGGCTGTAGTCATAATTACTGGATTTAAGAATTGACATGATAGCACAACGGGCATACCCATAGATGCTCCGTCTCACGCACCAAATGTAGATGCTGTTTCGGTAACACTGATTATACACATGCCGATCTCTTCCTTTCATCCGTCCATCCTTGCCGGATCCACACTTAAATCCTCATTCACACTTTCTTGCCCATGTTATTTCATCTAATCTAGTGCCTTCTGCCAAAAGTCGTTCATATATGGTCTTCATGATACCTCCCTTGTCCAATTCAAGTGCTTCCATAGCTTTCGCGTTTGTAGCCAGAAAATCCGCTCTTTCATTCCCTCGCACTCCTGCATCTTCCGGACAGAATAACCACGTGATTCAATGAAGTGTTGGCGTACTGATACATGGTATCCACTCATGCCACATTAGTCTATTTGAATCTTCCGCAATGCCAACTGAGAATCAGACACAATAATTCCTCTGGTAACTTTATTTTCTGCTATCCACTTCAGAGCTGCAGTGATTGACTCCACTTCCATCATCATGCTTTAAGTGGTAGATGAAAAAGCTGTTTTGTTCTGCCACAATTTTTCCCTCCATTCTAACTGAAAACCCCCAGCCATATCTCACACCCAGATGAACAAACCCATACACTACTGCATCATCTAATCCAGCCTTTCCATCTATAACTTGTTGTACCTCTAATTCTGCCATACCGTTACACCACTCTCTACATTCTCTTCCCAACGTGATAATGACCTGATGGAAACTGCTGTTGAAGATGTTCGTGTCGACCCATTTATGCCCCCTGTGTATTTGCTTGACCGAAGCTGATACCATCCATGACTGTCCTCTTTTCAAACGGTCTAATCTTAAATCAGTCAGATTATTATGCAGTGGATGCTTTTCATCATTGGTAACTGACTCGTATATGGGCCTTGGCTTGTGCCAGGAACAGTCTAGACTTTACCGGTGTAAGCGCAAGCAAATAGCTCATCGTTCTCCTTGGAATATCCTGTGTGCAGCCCAAGACGATTCTCATTCCTTCATTTTGAATCCTTTCAAGCTTTGTACACTGTGAAGTAAATAGCGTGTAGTCATGTCTGTCCTCGACATTGTATCTCGTGTACTTTCTATCAGTTTTGACACAAATGATCTTCTATTTGGACAGCCAAAAATAGCAACCAAGAGGTTTTGAAAGAGGCGGGAGCCCGAAGACAACTTATCACAGACATCAGAAGGAGACAGTCATCATTTTTTGGCCATGTTATGAGAAGAGGGAAAAATAGAACATGTTGTGACCACTGGAAAGATCTGTGGAAGGAGAGATAGAGGAAGACAACGAGAGAAGATTCTTGACAGTCTTGTTGCATGGCATGGAGGTGTGTCCGCACACGAACTGATACATGCTGCAGGAGATCGTGGATTATGAAGAGGCAATGAACGCCCATGCCAGTCTGCAAGGCACCTGATGATGATGATGATGATCTTCTATGCCATGACGTCAGACTGTCCATTTTCTCTATCAGTCTCTGTCTGCCTTTCTTTCCCACCAACTTTCCCACCGTAATGATGTACTCCAGTTTTCTCCTCACCCATGACCAACGAATGTAGCTTGTCTCGTTTTGATGTGGGCAACCAGTTCTCTTTATGAGTCAACTTCTTTCAAGACATCTTCATTACTTTTTTCTTAAATCTTTCCAGGGTATTTTCATCATTCGTTTATAAAACCACATTTCCGCACTTTCAACATCATTTTTCGCTAATCCTCTAGCTGTCCATGATTCACTTCCGTGTATCAGGATAGGATTTACATGGTTTTTAAGAATTCTTTTTCTCATCTCAGTTGACAAAGAAAGATTGCATAAAATATCTTCATTTTGTAAACTGATGCTTTTGCTTAAGCTAATCGACTTTTGCCTTCTTTAATAAATCTTCCATCTGCTGTTATCAGGGTACCCAAGTATTTACACCCTGCTTGAAGATTGTCCCGTTTCTTTGATGCTTCAGTTTGGAAGGCCCATTTTCTTTGTAATTATTGAGTCATTTACACAAATGAGTCAGTGGATTGCCACACGAGAAGCTCGTGGGCATTTACTCCTCAGGGTAAAGTTGTGAAGCAAGATTCTGGTATTGTTGCCTTGACTACAAGAGTCTGACTGTGGAGGTCATGAAAATGACCAAAGCAGTAGCATGGCTGAAGAAGCACCTTGACCTTCTCTGTGAGTATGCTCAAGAGAATAGAGGGCTGGATTCTACGACAGTGGACGGAGTTTTTAAGGCGGTCGGGGTTGATCACATCAGTTTCATATTGGTGCCAGGGCATGCAGGTTAGTTAGTTAGTTAGTTAGTTGGGTTATCCTCATTGCACTCCGGACATGTCCATAGGTGCTCAGATCCTCCCCTCAGTATGAACCCCAACGTCCGATGACTAATAGTACCAGTTCTATGTTGATTAACAAGTCTTCTGGCGTAGCTGGTGTGCGTCTCGTTTTTTGCTGTGCCGATCTTAATTCCCAAGTCTGCCATTCTGGCGAGTGATGTGGATTCACTGCCACCAAAGTCGTCTATCCTTCCCATTTCTCTGAGGGCAGTTGATAATATCAGCATGATCCATAGGCTGACCGTCGGTAGTGATAGCGATCCAGCCAACCTGTCAGCTCTTTCATTTCCATCGACGCCTGCGTTTTCCCGGAAACAAAAATGAAAAGGTGACTCCACGGACAGTGGACTTCTGTAATGATTCAAGCCATTGTCTTCGCACTGAACCTGCCTGAACCCTCCGGATCATACTCATTGAATCACTGAGTATACACACGCGGGTGTATTTTTGTGTTTCAAGCCAGGCAAGCGCTTGTGTCACTGCCATCACCTCCATCGTCATTCTGCTGGTTGTCATGGAGAAGGCGCCGTTGGCTTCTTTGACTGTTCTGCCCGCTGAGCGTGCTGTAAATGCCCATGCGCTTCTTCTTTGGCGTATAACGGATCCGTCTGAATAAATTATTGCATCTGCTTCGTCTGAATTTTCACCGATGAGAGCGTTGACCTCTGCATTAACAGCAACAGGATTCTCTTCTCTACATCGCCTGTTGAGTGTGACAATACAGGAAAATGTACAAATAAACGCCTGAGGCACAGGTATCCATTCTGCACCAGGTATGATGTCGGTTAGGCTGCATATTTGCCTAATAACATCTTCTGCCCGACCTAGCCACATTTCCCCCTCTTCAGTCTGTCGCCCTTTTCACTAAAAAGCGCTTGATGCAGTGGGTGTTTCTTATCAGCACATATTTTGAGGTATGCCCGAGCCCTCCACATCCTGATCCTTTGGTTCATTGTTGGAAAGTCAAGTAGATACCTCATTG